ACAGTTCCTGGTACCTTGCCCTTCAAGGCTTGGACGGCGCTGATGTCAGCAGGGTCCATCTTGTGTCCTTCTGCAGAGACAACACGGCCAAGGTATCGGACCTCCCGCTGAAACAGGCGGCACTTACTGGGCTTCAGTTTGATTCCATGTTGTTGTAAGCGATGGAGTACCTTGCGGATGTTTTCCAAGTGGTCTTCAAAGGACGTACCATACACCAGTATGTCATCCAGGTAAATGACGGCTATTTCCCCTGTCAGACCCTCGAGGCACGTCTCCATACACCGTTGAAACACCGCTGGGGCGTTCGTGAGGCCAAAGGGTATTCTCAGCCACTCGTACAATCCCCATGGGGTCACAAAGGCTGTCATGGGTCTGCTGTCTTCTGCCATGAATCCCTGATGGTAGGCTTTACCCTGGTCAAGGGTGGAGAACCAAGAGTTCCCGCCTAAACCATCAAGAACGTCTTGGATCCTCGGAATGGGTTGCCGGTCCGGAATTGTCTTGTTGTTCAGCTCCCGGTAGTCAATACAGAGACGAAGACTGCCGTCCTTTTTTCTAACACAGACTATGGGAGAAGAATACGGAGAGGTAGACTTGGCGATCCACCCCCTGTTTATGAGATCTTGGAGGTACTCTTTCACCTCTTTGTAGAGGGGGCGGGGTACCGAAAGATAGGTCTTCTGGACGGGTTTGTCATCTTTGAGTTGGATGTTCATCTTGAGGTTAGTGATACACCCCATGTCACTGTCATCTTTGGCAAAGGCCCCAGCCTCTTCCTTCAGCATTTCTTCTGCTGCTTGTCTCTGCTCTTCAGACAGATGACTGAGGTCTACAGGCGGAGTCCACTCTGATGACTTTTGGTGCTGTGGAACAGTCACTTTATTAACCCGCACCTGTGAGTTTTGGGAGGCTTCATGAGTCGGGGTACGTTCGTCAAAGCAGGGAAGAAGTGACCTGACCTGTTGCAGATCGCCAAGGATAGTTCGGCCTCTGATGAAGACGTCGTGTCCAGAGTGATTAGTCACTGGCACACGAATGTGTGAACAAGAACCAGCCTGTATTGTTACACAGCACTCTCCTACATCTGCTTCCTCTGGCCATGGCGTACTGATGTTGGGCTCGAATAGCACTGGGATGTCTTCGCTGACGGGTCCTGTCATAACCCGGCAAGCCACTGCTCTCGTTGTTCCCTTTGGAATCATTACACCTTTCTTTCCCACTCTGACTTGGCACAGGCTATCAGGACTATCATCATGAAGGAGACTAACCAGGGCCTTGATGGCTGCAGACTTCATCCTGGGAAACCCCGAGCGTAGGATGCCCCTGGTGTCGCCTTCATGCTCTTTCGTGAACTGTTCAATGACGTTGTACCCGATGATGGGTTCACACACATCTGGGGTTACAAGCATGGGTACTTGCAGCTTTGGGGTTGTCTGATTTCCCTCCTCACTCAGCGAGAACCCAGCTTCGATCCAACCGTCAAATGGGATGGGGGTTGAATTTGCAGCTCTCACATCCAATGGGGTCTCGCCCAGCAACTGATGAAGGGGTCGTAAGGGGACGTGTGCGAAATGTTGTCGAAACCACGAACGGGGAAGAAGAGAGATCTGGGACCCTGTGTCCCAAAGTGCCTCTGTCCGCTGCCCATCAATGTAGCAGTGCACCATGCATCTGTTCCCGACTAGACGACTTACTTTCTTGTGTTGTCTCGGGGTGAGGTGTGCACATACTTGGGCTGTTACTCCTGTCCTCTGCTCCTCCATTGTGGTTTCTCTATGCTGGGACTTTGTCACTGGGGTGGTTACTGCTCGCCCCTCGGCGGTAACCCTTGGCCGTTTCCCGACTGGTTGCTGCAGTTCCGCATGTAGTGGTCAGGTGATCCACACTTGAAGCAGTGTCGACACTGGTCACCAACACCTTGTGTCTGGCATCCCTGGCAGCCCCACTTCCTGGGAGGGCCCCGGGGGCGGGTCGCTCTGCTGCTCGCTGCATTGGCGGACTGGTTGCCGCCTGCTTGCAGAGCTGTGACCAAGGCAGCAACCTGCTGCTTCAGCTCCTTCACGTCTTCAACTAGAGGGTTGGGCTTGGGGGTCTTGGTGGGTGCTGGTTCAGGTGTGTTCTGAGAGACGCTGCTGACTGT